GCGCAGAAGTTGGTATTTTGTGGAAGAGCCACTCTCAAGGGGCCAAAGAGCCGCATGTGGCTCGCGAGCCACAGTTTGCCGACCTCTGAAGGGTAACCAGAGAAGGCTTAACAGGCCAATTGACATGCAACATGGAACACAGTAAATAGAGTTCTGACAGACAAATATGGGAGTGAGAGATCATCTACGTTAAGGGTAAAGTATGAAAGTGGAAAGGGCATGGCTTACTTGGAAAATTGAGAGTAGCCAGGATTGTTGGAGCATATCATAGAAATCATAGAAAGGTAGAAGAGAAGTGGTAAATTTGTGCTTACAAGATAGTAATATAAGGTGGGTTTCTCTCATCAATAGTTATTAAAATCCATTTTTTAACCCTCAGCACTATGTCCAAAATAGAATGTAAGAATATCATTTCACATGATACAGTGTATCAATGATGTGTCATGGAATAGTGCACCTGAAAACTATAATTTTGTTAACTGGTGTCACCCTAATAAATTGACTAGAAAGGAAAAAAAATAAACACTATTAAAAATAAATTTAAAAAATAATATCATTTCACAGTAACTTTATGATTTTTCTTAGTCTTAAAATACCTATCAGACATTATTTTAAAGTCTTTGATCAGGATTGAAACTAGCCAGGTTTTCCTGAAACTGCTTTTTTCTTTTTCAAAGTAAAAGTTACTTAATCTCGATAGCTCTCAGACTTCTTCTCTCTAAGGTAGGAGATTGGGCTAGATTATTCCTTGAATTTCTCCCAGATACAATTTTTCAGCATAGAAACCAATATTTTTACAAAAGCATCAAGGCATACTTCTTTTCAATAAAAACATTTAAGTTACACACTCATTTTTATTAAACTGGATATAAAATTCTCACACTCTTTTTATGCTTGGACTTTCTAAATTCTAAATTCTTTAAACACTTTTAAAAACAATTATTACACATAATCCAATGGGGCCTAAAAAATACAGGCTAGCAGATAACTTATTAAAAATAGTAACTATGGAAACTCAGTAAAATCATTACACTGCAGAGACACAATAACTTCACGGTCACTTTGCCCAATTTCTACAATTTACTCATGAGGCATCTGGAGTGTGGACAGATTAAGTGATTTAAGAGCTTAAGCTGAAGGCCACATGCCAACTTGGATTCCGTGGTGCCATTGTCCCTAGTCCACGAGGACAAGATTTAATGGTGAACTAACAACATAAACATCTGTCTTTCTGGTGATTGCTAAAATCTAGTTTCCATTTTTTTAAGTTGTTGGTTACCAAATACAGGAAAATTTAAACGTATATGAATTGCTTGGTAATATCTGTGTTCATGGAGACCAAATCAGCAAATCAAATCTGGCAAGAGTTCCACAATGTCCTGTGCTGTGTCGGTGCCTTGCCACCAGCCAGGTGCAGGGGGTTTCACTTGCTGTGATCCTCCTCACCCATGGGACATCCTCAGACTGGCTTTCCTGATGCCACCTCTCTGTGGGGAAGGGACGGTCATGCTTCCGGCCACTACAGTCAACTACTCTGGACCCTTCCTCTTACACCTCTTTGTGGGACCTTATCATTCTGGCACAGGCTGATTGGTAACTGCTGGCCCCACAAGTGCACAGCCCTGAGAGAGGGGACTCGTATCATTCTGGCACAGGCTGATTGGTAACTGCTGGCCCTGTATCACCACAAGTGCACAGCCCTGAGAGAGGGGACTCATTTTTGAAGAGAAATTATCTGAAACTCTGAGGTTGGGGGTGAAGAGAGTTCACTCTCCTGTAGTTGTGATTAAGAGAAAGTGGAAAAAGTGCTGGAGGCTCTAATTCAAAAAGTCACACTAGCGTAGGCCTATGACTGATGGGCAGAATGGAGCAAAGGAAAGAAAAGAAGGGAGGAGGAAGAAAGAAATGGAGGCAATTAATTTCAAGAACTCCAAAGTAGTAGAATCATAAAATCCCATAACTCCATCTTCTCTTTTGTGACTCTGCCATGGGTCAGGATGAATTTCTGTCTACTACAATTCAGTTTCCTGCCAGGTAAACACTCCCACAGGGAAAATGAGCTAACTTAATTTTCTGTTTTTTAAAAAAATCTGACACTTCGGCCCTAACCGGTTTGGCTCAGTGGATAGAGCGTCGGCCTGCAAACCAAGGGGTCCCAGGTTCGATTCCGGTCAAGGGCATGTACCTTAGTTGCGGGCACATCCCCAGTGGGGAGTGTGCAGGAGGCAGCTGATTGATGTTTCTCTCTCATCAATGTTTCTAACTCTCTATCCCTCTCCCTTCCTCTCTGTGAAAAAATCAATAATATATATATATATATAAAAATCTGACACTTCATACACGACCACTCAAAATCTAGACTAATGTGAAACCCAATTCTCCAAGTAAACCCTTTCTTTCAAAACAAATAAGCAAACAAAAAATTCTTGTCCTCACACACGTTATTAATCTTTAAATATGAAGGGCTAAAATTCTTCTAATTGCATCAAATGAGATTCTTATGACCATTCTTTGAAACCAAAACTTCAGTCTATGCATATGAGAAAGGCATCAAAACTTCCATGAAGGGCAAGTGCTGGCCTCAGTCCAGTACTTTCTGCAGAATGCCATTCGATGGGTTAAATACTTTAAAATGAGTGCATTTTTTCATAAACTTAATTTTACACTATGTTGAAATTCTGCATAAGGAGCAGATCACCATATGGAACTGTAAATAAGCCATTATCATATTGTCAATGTTTTTGTACAATAGGAATTGTGATTTAAGGAGTAGAAATAGAAAAGATAAATCGTAATATCCTTACCTAACTCCACTTTTGACCTGATATCATTAAAACTAAAATTGGAAAATTCAAGGGTTGTGGTGGTGAGGAATAAGGAAAGAGCTTAATGATCTTACTAAGAAATAGCTAATAACTGCCAGGGTTTATCTAATTAATTTTATCGGTAAATAGAATTTTGTTGGCTACTATTTATTTTGCCTTATCACAAAGACCAGACATTATAGATTTATACACATAATTACTTTGCAAAATACTTTTATATCTGACACAATAATTCACCAGCTCAACCTTCACTGTAAGTAGTGCAATTGCATGTCTTGATAATTCTGTTGCTTCTCTACATAACTGAGAGAAGTGATGGTGGAAGTTTAAGGATGTTACCAGCTGGACACCTTACAGGTTGGGGTGGGGATGGGAAAGAGGTTCCTATTGCTAAAACCAGTAATTCTGCATGTAACTATGCATGTCCCACCAACACGTGTGCCGCTGCAGATACAATCATTCCACATATCGAGTTCCCTGGATTTTAGGGCATGACATCTATTTGTATCTTTACTCAACCTTGGAAAAGTCACTTTCTGCCACTGGGAATCTCCATTTGCTCTTATAAAAAATTAGACTTATGACTAGGACATCTTTGGTTATTTCCCTTGGCCTTCTCTCTTTTCCTACAAGATGTTCACAAAAAGAAAGGGAGTATGTTATGAAACTAGGTTAAATTAGCTTGTTTCTACTCTAAGTTTCACAATTATAGACTACTTACAAAATACTAGTAATTTTGAATAAATGGACTAGTCGACAAGCCCTAAATAAATCAAACCAGCAATTAAATTGTGCTGCTCAAGGCACTACTCTTTTAATATAATAAATATTTTTTAAAAGGGACCTGCTGATAAAATTAGAGTGTGTCCTGATGTCATTTGAGGGTCATAATTCAATGAGAAAAAAACACTTAACCACTTTTATGTAAACTACTCCAGCTAAAACAAAATCAGAGCAGTAATAAATCATACAGGAAGCACAATATTTTAAAAATGTATTCTATTGGGAAGTTTTCTGTGTATTAAAGCACATACTCAGTTTAAAAAACTTGTAAAATTAAAAAAACATACAAATAATAATAATAAATACATAAAATAATAATCCCACACAAAAATATCTAAGAACATTTTGATGTACAATAAATACATAGTAACCTTGTTTAGTATGTATAGTTTTAACTATTCTTGAGCAACTCTAAAATTGGCATATAGTCTGTTATAATTTTTGCTTTTATAATCATGAGTCCAGTTCTGAGTCTGGGTCTGAAATGAGTGAACACTGTAGGTAATGACTGTATAGTCCGACAACCTCCTTTCATTGGGGCTCCTTGTGTACATGCAACAACTAACTAATTTTTCCTTTATGGCATATGCAGAATGATTTGCTATGGAAATATTCACCCACATGGGGATTCAAATTTGGCTTGTGAATGTTAATTTCTACTATATATTCCCTTCCCCATCTTTTTTTGTCTTTTAGTTTATTAGTAGCAAAAAAAAAACAACAAAAAAACACCACCTCTTTTTTTTCATTCTAAGAGATAGAATTGTGCTTGAAAACTGTCAACTTCTATAGATACTATTACACTAGAAAAACCTTTCTCTCCTATCCCTACATAGGCAGGTTGATTTTTCACTGAAAATGGCTTCAAGCTGCTCCTAATATTTACTCACTTATGCAGGTGCGTTCATCAGCATGGAGTCTGTATCCTGTATCACATTCACAGTGGAAGGTGCCCAGAGTGTTAATACAGCGCTGCTGGCAGCCTCCATTCACCACCACACATTCATCGATATCTAGAGGAGGAAGACAGATGGCCAGGATTACAATGTCATTCCAATGTCAGCTTCAGAGAAGTGGCCCAATATTTCTTTGATTCACAGTATGTGTTATATTGTACAAAGGCACCGACTCTGTGACCACAAATCTTTCCTTGTTTGATCCATTTTGCTCCACAGTATAAACAAGAAAATGTAGATAGAAACTTTATTGAGCTTTTTAAAGCCCAGCAACAATAAGCATAAGGATTGTCTTCTCACAATTTTCTCTTCTTCACATACTGGTTAATTAGACAGATCTGAGATACAGATATTTCCTTGGGGCAGGGAGACTGGAGAATAACAATGAGCTACTCTATCTGGAGCAGCACACATTGTTAGATAAACACCTATTATTGGTCTGATACTGCTGAATGAAGCCAATAATAAAGACCTTGGATCTCCTTCTCATGTGGTATGGTGGACATCAGGGAATAGACAGGCACATTCAAACAAAAACCATGGTTTGGAGTTCTTAAAAATACACCAATATACTTGCTTCATTGATTTAGTCTGTTCCTTGTCAGTCAGGGTTCCATTTTCTAAAATACTTAATGTGAGAGGTTACTTTCAATTTAGGAAAAAAGAAAACATTTAAAAAGAGGTCAAGATTCATAGTCACCTGCATCTTATGATCAGTCAAGGTCATAATAAAAGAACATAATATTCATCTTCCTTTAGGAAAGAAAAGTCAATATATCTCTTATAACCCACTAGAGGCCCGGTGCACGAATTCATGCATGGGTGGGGTCCCTAGGTCTGGCCGGAGATCAATCGGGGCCATCTTGTCCAGTCCTGATAGGGGCTGAGCCGACCGGGGCCTGCCGGCTGGGGGAGCAGGGGGTGCAAGGAGCGGGATTATGGGAGGTTGGCTGACTGTGGGAGGTTGGCTGAGGGAGCACACTGACCACAAGGGGGAAGCATCTGTGTTGAGTGTCTGCCCCCTGGTGGTCAGTAAGCATCATAGCGACTGTTCTACAGGAGTTCTGGTCTTTCTACTTATTCAGTCATAATGGTCACTTAGACTTTTATATATATAGATTAGAGGCCCAGTGCACGAAATTTGTGCACGGGGGGGAGGGATCCCTCAGCCTGGCCTGCATCCCGTGACCCGGCCGGCCTCTGGCCAGAGGCCTGCCCACCTGCCTCTCTTTCTTCCCTCTGTGGGCTGGGGTGCACAGGACGCTGCTCCTCTCTG